CTTCCCTGTAATGTATAATGTTTCAGGGTGTCCACGCTCTGCGTTTTCTCAGTGACCCTTGCAACCATCTTTTAGAGACTTGTAGTCCAAAGTGCCTGCACAGTGCCAGGTTGCCTTCCCTGCTGCAAAAGACCTGTTTCAGCTAAGGCTATTCCTCCTCTCCTGGGGCTGTTCCAGCACAATACCCTGTAGGTGGTCATTAACTTGCTCTGTCCAGGAGGAACAAAGCCAGCTTCCCCTCTATTGTCCAAAAGGTGCCAAGGGTCAGGGCCTTTGCTCAGTGGCACATCCTCTGTGAAAGGCTTCTCCCACCCCTTTCACACAAGCGGAACTAAGCTGTGCTCTTCATGCTTAGCTGAAACAGCAAAGCTGAAGATCCCTTCTCTTTAAACACACACGCACTGCAGAGCTACTGTGTTTGGAAGGCTGCAGTTTGCGGACAAAAGCGTCTTGCCTTGGACCCATCCTTCTTGGAACTGCTGGAGCACATTCTGCGTCACCACAGCCCTGGGAGGAATCAGCTGGGCAATGTGCAGAACGCCATCGCAATTTCCCATTGTCTTCCAATGTGCAACAGCTAGATGGTCAATCCTGGCACCAGGAACTGTAGATGTGCTACAGAAAGCCGTGCGGGGATCACTTCCAGAAGGGAACACACAAGAAATGGGAGAGCTAGGCTCTTTCACTGCAAACTAACCATCTCCTGACAGGCATTGCACAGCACTGTTGAAGTGCTTCTGTGCATTATGCAGGAGAATTTGAAGGTGTCTGGACTGTAGTGTCTGGACTGTACCACTGGACTATAGGGAAGAGGCATTGTCAATATTTTCCCAAGAAACAAGACTCTTTGTACTCAGTAAACTAGCAGCTCAAGGGGGAACATTAAGCAAAGTCATGTGAGGATACTACATGCAAGGAGCTTTTAAAATAGGGATTTATTTCAGAAATATATATGATTCTCCACCTACAGGTTCATATAGTTCTGTCTGGATTGTTATCATTTTCTGCTTTGTAATATGTACAACAGCACCAGCATGGAGTCTTGCATTGCCAAGGAAGGAGGGGTCCAACTAGTGTGTTTGCACCAAGACTAACTTGGGAGTTGCTTTGAACTGACATCCTAGATGTTGAGTCAGAAAGTAGAGGTGTTGAATTGTGAAGAAGATCCATACCAGCCTATTGCTGAAGATGGTATGAAGAAGCCCTCTCTTACCCTCCCTTTCCAACTGACAGTCAATCAGCTTGCAAGGACACGTATCTCAATCTACTACTTGATGCGTCTGGCCAATGCATGTACCCACAGGCTGATCTGCACCTCAGTTGATCCAGCTGCAGGCCAATGAAGTGGTTCCACTTGCTTGCAAATTCACCAGCGTTCTGACTGGAAACGCAGGCTGAAGCTCCTTCCCTCGAGCGGATTACATGATGATGAAGAGTTGCCACAGTCTATGTACAGCTTCAAGTGACAAATCTGGAGGGAGCTGGAGAAGCACAGTCTGAAACCCTCAAGTTAACATCCTAACTTTGAGAAGGGAAAGCTCTGTGTGAAATGAGTACAGAACAGTGGTAATCAGACAGTGGTAATTATTTAGTGTCCTTTGGCTTCCCACCTCAACCCCCCAGAGTGAAATGAACTCAGTCACGTGGGAATTTCAAAAGGTAGGGAAAAAAGTAAGACCAGGACAGTGAATTGTTCCCCTCCAGCAATAAAGCCATCCAAATAATCCTTAACATCCTTACAGATCTTTTCTGAAACGTCTGTTGCTGCTGGAGCCCATTGATCCTGGTGCAATTTCAGTCAAAGACAGCTTACTTGGAAAGGCAAAAGTTCACTGATGGATTGGGTGTCTGCGCCATGGCCTGACAATCTGGACCAGAGGAAGATATTTTGGCTGTTCTCCTAAGTTTTGACAGGACTGCTCACTGGGAACAAATGACCCCGTACAGCCTAATGACTGGTCTGGATTAAAGGCAGAAACAGCATTCCTCTTCAGTAGCCTTCTCCAATCCATTGTTTTCTCGATATTTTGGACTTCATCGTCATCAGCAATGGGCAAGAATGATGGTGGTTGTACTATAAAGCACCTAGGGCACTCGGTTAGGCCAGAATGCTTTATACGGTGTCAGACCACTGCTTCATCAAGTGCAGTATGGCCAATACTGACCAGCAGCCCTCTCCAGAAGGTTTTCCAGATCTACCTGGAGATGCTTGGGATCCAACCTGGGACTGCTAACGTGCAAAGCAAGACTGAACCACAGCACTGAACCACTACCCTTCCCTTGGGGAAATTTGGGAAGGCTGCCTCTTCAGTGACGTGAAGTCTCACATTTTATTCCAAATGGAACTTCAGTAATATCTTCCTCAATGCTGAATTCACCCCAGCTCCTCAAACAATCGGATATTAAAATCCAAATCAGTATTCTCTCCTAACACACCTCTTCCCCATCCTTGTTAAGCCAGCACATATTGTGGAACATCTTATTATTGCTATTGGAGACTTAGAGAAAAAAATTGGCAACCATTTTAGCCTGTCCTGGTGCAGGAAGACTTTTTGTGCATGCAAAGAAAGGTGATAGATTGCCTTGGGTGGTGTTAAATGCCCTTCTAAAAGCATGCATCTCCAACCTGGGCCCTCTAGACGCTTTGGATAAAATTCCCGTCATTCTGGACATGCTACCTGAGGCTCATGAGAACTGTATTCCAAAGCATCCAAACGACACTAGGTTTGGGAAGGCTGTTCTAAGGTCATACAGAGAAATGGCTATATCCTACAACAGAGGTGGAAAGATTGCAGGCTTTGTGGGACCCAAAAAAGTATAGAGTAAATACAGTTTGGTCTCAATGTCAGCTTGGATTTTTAGGTTTTATAGAACATCTCATAAAATAAAGCTGAAAGCTAGGCTCGTTCTAGGCTTGAAAGTTCAGTTTATCAATTAATTTTTAAAAAACACATAAAAAGAGGCATAGCCCTTGAAAACCACTCCTCTTCAGTCCTTCCTATGCCCCTTGTATCCTCAGGCCAGCCTGAATCACATCTCTTCACAATTCACATACCCTTTGTCTGTTGTCACCTCTAATGATCCATTGACTATTGTCTATTGTACACTCCGACAGCCCATTAACTATTGTTATATCTCTTAAACAGAAAATCTCCCATTGACTATTGTCATCTCGCCTAAATAGAAAATTTCCACTCCCAGTGTACTCAGCTGACCTACATTTCCCCTCTCCAGAAGATAGTGTGGTAGTTCAGCCATAGCCGCCCTTGATTTTCAAATATGTTCCTCTAATCAGCCTGGCTGCAGCAGCATTTAGGCCAAGCTAGAGTTATATGAGGAGGCACCCTTACTCCTGTGTGGAAGGGAGAGTGGGGAGCTACAGTGATTATCATCACACAAGTGAGTTAAGCCCCTGTGTGAGTTTAGCAACAGGGTGAGAGGCCTCCCTTCTCTTCCCTCCCTTCTCATGTAACTAACTGTAGATTAATAAGTATGAATAAATAACTACACATAAATTTCCCACCTTCTCCTAGTAAACAAATTAGTTTTCCAGGTAAACAAACCAAATAATAGCTTTTTGAAAAGTTTTGAAGCTAGGAAGCCAGCAGGGGTGTGGGACCTGTCCTATGGATTGTACTAAATGCCACAAGTATGACTACCACCCGGATAGAAGTTGAGGGTGTTTATTCAGTGTATTGAGCTTCTGGCTTGCAGGGAACAGGTTTGTACCCTTGAAGCCAAGTTTACTGACCTGGAGAAACTAAGAAAGACCAAGAGGCTGGTGGGTGTGACCTCAGGGACCAAATAGAGGTGCACTAATGCCTGAGTGACAGCTGCCCTCCTGTGACAGAGGATGGAAGACTTGGGAAGGACGGTGAGGAAGGGAGAAATGCGCTCTTAGAAGGGGTTCATTCTTCAGAAGACTAGTAATAATGTTCTTGTGCCAAGGATGTGCCTTCAGAGACTGGGAGGCTTGTGGTAGTAGGAGAACAGGCAGTTGCGTTTGTGGTGGGCATGTAGACCATACAGTAAATTGCTTGCCTGGTGTTAAGTTTGCAAATACCATGCACCACCCACCCACCCATTCAAATGATATCCTGCTCTTTTCTTATGAACTCAAAGTGACTTGCATCATTCTCCAATTTCTGATCTCAATCTTATCCCCAAGGCAACAGCCCTGTGAGATGGGTTGGGCTGAATGTCTGGCCCAAGTCTCCCAGCTGGTTCCATGGCCAAGCAGGGACTAGAAACCCAGGTTGCTTGAGTCCCAGTCCTGTGCTCTTCACCACTACACCACACTGGCTCTTAGATCGCTTTGTAAATAGCATAGAGGTGGTGCTAGGGGTGCTGGTCCATCTTAGCACCAATAACATGGGGTTAAAATAGGAGTGAGAACCTGCAAGCTAAACTAAGATTGCTATGCAGAAGATGGAAATCTTGTAAGTAGTGCACAGTTCCAATCAGAGTTACAATGCATAAAGGGTTGGTCAAAGCTGGGAAATATGAAAGATGCAGTAACAGCCAAAACTGTGCCAGAGAACCTAATTCAAATTTTCAGGTGGAAACTAGCACTTTGGATGGGCTGGAAACGCTTTACAAATAACACTTCCTTTCAGTCCACTTCAGTGTTGTTATTTTCCTTGGCTGCTGAGTTTCAGTGTGTTCCTGTACTTACTGCTTTCTACTCCTTCCTAGATGAGTCACATGGGTGATCAGAGATCAAGCAGTGAACAGAACCCCACCCGAATGATGCCTGGCCAATCGGACGGCAAGCCCTGCAGGGTGAGGGCAATAAGTTAACATTTTCACAAGGAATGCCAGGAAAAAAATGCCCAGAAGGAGAGGTGTTTTTCAGCAGTTTCAGAAGTGTTTGTGGCAAGTATATGAGTAATTTTTGGAATAATTAGTGTGGAGGATTGTGAACATCACCTTGGATTATGATATCATACACCTTAAACAGGGAAAGCAAGACACTGGCATAACTTTCACACACAGTTCTCTGGTACAATAGTGGTAATGTGATATTTACTCTCCAATTCCCTGTTTCATGTGTATGAGTCCTTGGCTCCCCTTAATCCGAAAGCTAGACATGAATCATTTAATTCAAATCCATAAGTAAAACAAGCCAGCGGCGGGGCCGGGTATTGGAGCAATAAGGGTAAGTATGGACGCAACCATATTATTATACATACTGAAACTGGGCCAACTGTTCCTAAGTAAGTAAAGTAATTGGCGATAAAGTTCTCATGTCTTTTTCTGAATAATATCTTTATCTCAACATATAACTGACAAATACCTAAAGGACTGGAAACAACAAAGGGTTTCTATGGATAAGGAAATGCTAAACTGTGTTCAACCCAAGCCAGGAGGAAAAAGGTGGCCAAGATTCCTTTCTTAGGTTGCATTATGCAACAGATTAAAGGCACCCAAATCTTTCTGAGCAGTGAGTCTCTGTCAGTTCTCAAAGTTTCTTGTAGACTCTTGATTGTTTGCTAAACTCCTTTCCTGATCTACCAAACCCAGCTCCAAATAGGAAAAGGTTTTTATTTTGAAACAACATCATTGCTTGGTGTCATTATCATCCAGCAACCATTTGAAGGCACAAAAAGTAAGTTCTTGAGCGCACTTACTAGTTCTGTGATTATTTTCCAAATACTATGGGGGGATCAGTCATGTCTCCACCCCTAAAACTGGGAAGGCGATAGTGTTGCATCCTCCATGTATATGATGTAACCTCTATATGTTTTTTAAATTTCCCTGATATCATGCCCTATCTGCCCACTAGCTAGCTAATCTTCTAAAATGGCAGCTCTTACAAAGAGAAGGATGGAGCATGCCTGCCATTTTGAATTTCTAGGAACTGCGAGGTGGGAATTAAATGGCAACATGGTGCAGCTATTTCCTATGCCTACTGCATTACCAAGAAGGAAGGTGCCAGAACTTTGACTGAGGTCTCATGGAGTACCTGTCAGCGGCAGAGTTAATAAAACATAGTAAGAAGGAAGTTCTCATGTTTCTCTCTGAAGTATTATATACACCTTCACCTAATCCTGACAGCAGCTTGTGGAACAGGTTTGTGTCTGTTTAGCAGCTGGTTAAATGGAGGCAAGTGTTGGAGAGTCAGAGAAATCCTACTGACTGTCTAGGAGACATGACTGTCATTGTCGGAGAGGGTTGCAGTGGCTTTCTTCATCATACTAAAAGACTAAGATACACAATGAAGGCCTGGCTTGCAGGTGCTCAACAGATTGCTATAGGTCCAATTACTGGAGATGTGAGACTAGTGAAATCCATAGGAGTTATCTTTGCATCTGAAGAGTAGTGGATTCCTAGGTGATGTCTTTAAAGTAAGGCTCACAAAGAAGCTTGGTGAAAGAGGGTGAGATTCAGATCATATCTGGGAGCAGCCTAGCTTATGTTTCTCCTGGATGTTAAATATTGACTTGTCAAAAAAAAAAAAGTCATATTAGTCAAAGATCCCTTGCTATTTTTTCTCCACTGAGGTAGATGTCAATTTGGAGGAAGACAAAACAGGAAAAAACAGCAACAGAGGGGTTGGTATCCAATGCCTCCTAATCTTGCAAAGGTCTATCAGGTGGAGCCTGTTCAGGTCAACTAGTGCACATTTGCATTTAAAACCTACATCCTCACTTGACCATACCAGGCCTGGTTCGGGTTAGGTTAGTCGTTAGCCCATGTTCCACATGCCTCAGATCACGTGCCGTGCCAGCCCTCGCGAATGCCTCAGCACTCCTGGAGCACGCAGGCACTAGCTGCTGACACGGGTTGTGCCGGACCGCACTTCTCTGAGGCAACGGATTTCCCTGCATAGTCAACACACACTGCGCTTCGTGTCCGTGTTCCCTCTCCGCACGTTTGCGAACAAGGAGACCAAGGCCCCATCTGCCAAATGGGACACGGGAGGTAGTTGCAGGGCTTGATGTCCTCCGGCCTGACAGCCCTGTCGCAGGTTGGTGAGAGCTGCCCTTCTGTGTCCAGGCACTCCACTGTTCGTCTCTGCCAGCCGGAGCCACAGGATTTGGAGCACTTGGACCAGTCTCCTAGAACCCACCGTGATGTCAGCATGGGCCTAATGACGTTGGCCAAGCTCTTCTCCTTGCTCTTCTGCTTGCTGAAGTGGATGTCCTTGGGGATAAAGAATGTGTATCTCACCTTGAGATACATATCAGCCTCTTTGGAAACGTTCAGCACCTGGACAATAAGGGGTTCGGGAAGCTGCTGGTAACCCTGGAGGCGTTCCAGTGTGGTAAGGGAACCGCTGTACCTCAGCACGCTTCCTTTCACGAAAATGTCTTGCTCCGTGGCTGAAATGGTGAAGTTTCCATTCAAGAGGTATTTGCCATCCAGTGTTCTCAGGGCTAAATAATTTCCATCATGCCTCACCCCCCGGCGGCTATGTTTGACATCGATGTTGGTTGCTCCCGCAGGGATTGTGATAATGTCATTATATCCAAACCTAGCAGAGACCAGTGCGACAGTTATTATCCTCAGCAAACATACATACAAACAAGACCCTGGTGTAGAAGAAATTGTGCTACTCACACTTCATAAGCTCCAAACCAAGAACCATTTAAATCTTGGAGATATCTATGTCAAAGATGGAAATTGTTTTAATTTGTCATCTCTCCCCATCGCACCTTACGAACTACAGTTGGGTGAGAGGGCTAAGGATCATTAGCAGAATGCCTAACATTCATCCTAAACTGTTAGATCCTATGATATTTGAATGGTCTTGAAGCATGCAGCAAAAGGATAATAACTCAAGGTAACTGTCCCATCAGGAGCCTGTACCTGACAAATGTGACAGGCATTAGAAATATTTCTCAAACCTGTAGACAGGAGGAAATTGTACTGCAATGGCAAATAGCAATGTGTTTGGGTCATAAATATATGCTTTACAATTCTTAGGTATGTCATTTCTTAAAGCACTGAAGGAAAAGTGCTATCTGCCTTGAGAAGAACTTTGGACTTGGGTAATGCCTGTCATGTGTCCCTGACAATGGCAGCTGGTGGATTTCCGTTCTTATCTGGACTTCCAAGTTGCATGCCCTTCAGCTTTCAGAGCCCTCAACTCAGTTTTACTGTCCCAGAGCCAATGCCTAATGGACCTATGATTTAGTGGTTATGCAGAACTATTTTTAACTCCAGTTCTGGCTACATACTAAACAGAGGATTAGATCAGTCGAGGTGCTTTCTGCATTCTTCCTGTGTGCTTTCATTATCCACCTTTGCAATACTAGGACTGGTGTGAACTGCCCAGGAATGTCTCTTACTTCGACTTGTTGAACGAGCCAGTTATTTTCCTGCAGGTTGAGCCATTGCCACCGCAAACCCCACACTTGTCAAACTTCTTGGGTGACCCAATGATGTGGTCACAGCCAGCCTTGAAGCATTGACCATGTACGCAGACCGAGAGGGTGTCAGGGGCACAGAGGGTCCCGTCAATCACCTGACATGAAAACAAAGGAAGAGGAAAGTGGGTTGATGCACAGTTAAAATATATGTGACGTTAAAATATCTCAGAGGGCTGGAATGTACAATCATTGCACAGGCTCTCTGCTGTGGTGCACGCCCAGCCCCATATCAAGCATAAACACAGAAGATGCTGCAAGATGTGTGGGAAATGTTTTTGCACGAGTGGCTCTCATTTACTGGAACAGCATCTGAACTGATCCTATGAAAATCAGGACGACACCATGCCACAGTTCCCCGAATGCTGTCGGCTGCATGGAGGAAAAAGCCAGGCAGGACCTGCTGGACCAGGCTTGTCCGTTCTCCACTTTGCCTTGCATGGTGGCTCATGAGTTCGCAGATGCTCATGAGCAGAAAGGCAAGCACCAAGTGTCAGATCTTGCTGCCAAGCAGCTGGTGTTCAATAGAACAATGTCTTTGACCTTGGACATTGCCAGACTGATTGGATCTACTTTGTTTGTTTCACCAGCACTTTGAGGGTCACCACTCATAGCCAGCTGGGGTGAAATGGTAGCTGGTTGAGGAGGAGATGCAAAACATTGCCTGTGTCACATGAGACATAACACTGGGATGAATGGCATCCTCAGCTTCTTCAGTTCAGGCATGCTAACGGCCTAATTTGGGTGGCGAAAGCAGTTTTGATTATTGCTATTGTTGTCAACGTCATCATTACAGATTTAGAAGGCAAGAAACCAGTGATCTATGGTTGCAGCTTGCTTCAGCTTATAAGCACTGACAGACGTATCTTCTACGGATACCATTCCATGACAACTAATCTGAGTCATTTAAACATTCTCCCTGTTTCATGGGAACTGCCACTGGAAAAGCAGTTTCCACATATGTCCAGGACAACTTGGTAGTGTTCCTGACAGCACATCACAGGAGAAAAGTGCAAGGGCTCCAAAGAGAGCTTTTGAGATCACTCAAAGGGAGACCAGAATGATGGAGGCTAATGAAGGGCACTTACTTTGGTCTCAAACACTTTGAATTCATTCCCCCTTTTAGCCCGGCAGATCAGTTTGCAACGATCTCGAGGTGACACTCCTGCGTACATGGGAACCCACTCCAGCAGATTTCCGTTCAGGTCTGTGAAGTTGTACCTGTCATACTTTTCACACTGTTGCTCTCGAAAACTCCTGTCTACAAAATGAGGAAACAGGTGCCAATAAGAACTCACTTTAAATAAAGATGCAGAGCATCAGAAGAGGAGCAAAACCTGCTTTTATACTCAATGTTTTTCTATAATGACTTAATGATATTTAGATTTCTTGCCACTGAGGTGAAACTTTCTGATACCTATGCTGCTTTCCTGTTGCAACATCAGGGGCTGCTCCATTGGGGCAGCCCCTGTCCTTCCTGCCGAGTGCAAGTGTCCGTCAAATGCTGTTGAGAAAGAAGAAAGACTGAGGGAGAGAAGTGAAGGAGAGCCAGGCCAGTAGCCCTGCTGCAAATCTGCTTTTTTCCTTTTTGTTTTTCTCCCCCAACCTCTTTTCTTTGTATGCTTCATCCCATAAGATTGCAGGTCAGGTCCTCCCCACTCTCCCCTCCCCCCCCTTCTCCTCTGTGCATTCATAAGCTCCTTTTGAAGCCTCTTTTTGGCTGATAACTTTTTGGTATAAAAATACTGGAGTAAGAAAGTAAATCAATCCCTCTTGTGGAGAAACCCTTACTGCTTCCTCCTGGACTCTAGGAAGCGAGCTGTGCGTTAGCTGTCGATTACCATTAGGTGGGCATTCCTCAGTGTGGCACGACTCGTACTGAACCCGTTGGCCCTCGCAGTATTTGCCTCCGTTCTTAGGCAGGGGGTTGTCACAGGCTCTGAAGGAGAAGCGCACGCCTCCATCACACGTTCTGGAGCATGGTCCCCAGGAGCTCCAGGGCCCCCAGCTTCCATCCACAGCAGTCTGCAAGACACAAACCCCTCTGTTATGGCTTTGATCCCAGTGCTTTCCTGCAGGGAGGCTGCATCCACCGTCCTCCCAGGCAGAATGTAATACCAAAAGGGCAACCATCCCTGTCCTGTTGAAAGACCAGTCGAGTAGCGGCTGTTCAGTGCCTCTTGTCCTATTTGCCCCCGTTCCTCCTTTTCCTTTGCGATGTGGCGAGGGATGTGTGGATTTTGCAAAAGCCATTCATCTGCATTTTGTGAACTGCCTGCCATCTTGCATTTCATCAACTGCTCATTGACAGAACTGGTTTTTGCAGGATTTCTTTCATTTTTAAATGTGTATTTGCATGAGCACACATTAATACAATCACTCCACCAAAAGTGAAAAAAAGAACCTGGAAATCCATGTGACTTGGAAAAAAAACTGGTCTGCTGAGGAATCTGCAGGTTGGTTCACAGAAATCCAATTTCACTTAAATCTGCTGCAGATTTCTCTGATGTCTAGATTATGAGTGTGTGGGCAGGTCTTTATTTTTTAACCTCTGCACAGGGCATAGTAAATGTTAGGGTCTGATGATGAGGGAAAGCAGTTTAGAAGTGCATGCACAAGTTGGTGTGTGTGAACTTTTGAAACAGCAGGAAGAGAACGGATTCTGTTCTGCCCTTTGCCTGTCCCTTGAACCTGATTTCTGCTTAATGCAGGTTTTCCCCAAAGCACTGCGAAGAGGAATTACAGAGGTGCCCTTCATGCTTCACTTGGCCCTTAGGCAGAGATGGATGGCTCCCTTCCCACAACGAGATTACCTTGGCCATCACTTGTTCCTGTGCCATGCACTGGCCGTCCAAACAGATCTTCCCCATCCCACAAGGTGTCCCATCCGCCCAGGGCAAGCTGCCATTTTTGGTGTGGCACAAGCGTTCCCCTGCCTCCAACTTGCACCACAGTTGGGAGCAGACGTCTTTCTCTGTGGCATTTGGGCAGTGCCGGAACTCTTTGCCAAATATCTGCTGGCATTGATGATCCAAGCTGTACAAGGGCATTTGGCCTGGAAGGTCTGTGGGGAGGGGGATGGAGTCAGCCGGTTCATCAAGCAGACAATCTCCTGAAGAGGAAAGAAATGCACAAAGTGGATATATCTGTTCATCTTATTTATTTACACAGCTGAGTCAATTTACATGAACTTTATAGAGTATCTTAAGAAGTCAGGACTCTGCCGCAAGGAGTCGACAATCTATATATTGACATTAAGGGGGTTGATATCAGAAGGAGAGGAAGAAAGAAAAGAAGGAAATGAGGGAAGATATGATGGGGAAGCACAAGAGGGTTCCATGTGGAAGATGATGGCAACTCAACCCCGTGCCCCATGAAATGGGGTGAATGAGGCAGGGGAAAGACTTGTCCAGAAGCACTTAAATTTCTCCATAATCTGCTCTATAAACATAACCTACTCTACAGAGTAGCAATAATCCCTATTCTTTCCTTTATTCCTGTTTTGGGCAACTGCAATATGACTGACTTCTTTGACTCCCAGGCAGCCTGGGTTTTTTATTGGACACATCCAAGTCACTCAGATATTGAACCTATTGAATAATTAGCTAACTACTGCACAAAGTCAAGTTTCAAGGAAACTGGGAGAAGCATACATTACAATCAGGAATACCATGAAAGCTAGAGAAACTAAGGATTTCCTTACATAACTGTAATACACCAAAAACAGCTCAGATGTTTAGACCATATGGCTTACTGTATGTTTGGTAATAGCCTTCTGCTAATGTAGACAGAACAAATACAATATTGTTGAAGAATGGCAAGCCCAAGGCAGACTACTTGGTCACCCAGGGATTTTTTTTTCTTTTGACTGTGCCACTTGAAACTTTAATTAGTTCCTGTCATATCTACTAGTGGAGCATTTCTGGAGACAAAGTTCTAAGCCTTAGTTCTAATGTTTTTCGTTTGTAAGCAGTTTCACATATCTATGCAATTTTGCAATAGATTTTTTGGCATTTTTTAAAAAAGATGGCATTCAAATTATTCTGTAAAGAAGAATAAGAAACAAAATGCCATGTTGTGCACAATTAGCAGAATAATGTGAACATAAGTCAGTTACTGTCACCTTGGAATTTTTAAACATTTATGTTTCATTTTTAAATGTAAGTTGCAAATACTCATGTCTTTGTTCTGGTGTAGCCAAAAAGATGTGTGAGATTCTGGATATTTTAGACCATATGTCCCTTTCCTTATATAATATACATTTATAGAAACAAGGTTCCTATGCCAAGGGCCTTCCAGGTACCATTCTGGATGATTGAATAGGCATCAGTGAAATTGGCCAAGAAACGTCCTGAACAGCAGGATGGAAGAATCAGTGAGATCTGGGTTTCCCAAGGATTGGCAAGTTCTGCCTCAAAATTCAGTCTGCCTTATTCCTATTCCTTGTTGTGAGCTTCCCCTACCCCACGTCATTTTAACAGAAAAAGTATGCATTCAGGTATGTGTTTTTAAAGTACACATCAACATTCATATTTCCCCTCCACTGATTAGAGTTTAAAAATGAGCATTTCAAGAAAAGCATGCATTTTGTCAGTAAGCATCACAAGCTGAGTAGTGTGAACTCGGTCCACAAAATGGACTTGCGCTTAGGGATATGAACAGGATCTGGTCTCAAACAAAGGGGTGGAGCGGGACAATATTCTTGTACTTTCCCATTGATGCCTACCATGTCCTCCATCCAGGAATTCCGTGATGTACATGGCACTGCAAGGGGACCAAGGCAGCGTCTTGTTCAAGTGGATGAACAAAGGAGCCATCATGTGGTGCTTTCCTAAGGCCCCGAAGAGCCTCTCGCAGGTCTTGGAATCATCGTGGGGCATGCTGAGCACGTGCCCTGGAATGCGAGAGGAGACACTATGGATTGTCCGGAGGATATTTGCACTGGAGAAGGCCTTGTTGTGGTACAGCCCCCTGAAAGGTCTCTCCCACCACTAAGCATATTGTTATAATATCCTATTGACACTGGCAAAGACGCACACCTCTGCAATACCATCACAGAAGCATCCCGCACAGAGGGAAACATCCGTATGTCTAGAAACCATTTTGAGCAATCAACAAGAAAAGGATAAGCCTGTGATAAGGCCTTAACCTGATGTCAAAAAGAAAGGGAGATCATCTCATAACTGGTAGGGACAGCTCTGAGAAGGCCCTCTCCCTTGTTGTGGTCTTTTGAGACTCCCTCAGAGAGGCACCTAGAGAAGGGCCACAGAGAATGAATGGACTGCACAGGTGGGTTTAGGCAAGGAGAACACGCCATGTGGTCCTGAGCCATGTAAGGCTTCATAGGCCCAAGTTAGCACCTGGAATTGGGTGTAGATACATACAGACAGCTGTGGAAGTGCCAGAATCAGTGTTACATGTCAGATGGTCTGTTATCAATCTGGCCACCATGTTTTGCACAAGCTGTACTTCTGAACTGCCTTCAAAGGCAGCCCCATGTACAGGACATGGCAGCAAGCTAGCTTGCTGTACAAGTCAACTGTTTTCTGCTACAATGACAGACTCCTACCCATACAGGCAGGGCACTGACCTAGTTCATGGGCCAAGGTGTAGGCTGCCTGCAGACCTTCATCTTCTATCACCGAACAGCTTTTGTTTCGGTCACACATGGTGCCTGTCTCAGCCACCCCAAGCGTACTGCAGCTCTGGTGTCCACAGAAATCCTGTGTGTGGGAAGGGCAGGGTGGAAAATGCATGATGAAAGAAGAGACATGTACAACAAGGTGTGAACTGTTCTTAATAAGAGATAAAAGTGACAAAAATCAAAGTTAATATACAAAAATAAGTAAAGGCAATGGTTCCCCCACACTTGCGTGCTGGTTATGTCCAACTCTGAGGCCGCTGCTCGTCTCCATTTATAAGCCAGAGAGCCAGCATTATCCAAAGATGCTTCTGTGGTCATGTGGCCTGAATGAGTAAATGCCGAGGTGCCTGGAAAGCTGTTCCTTTTCCCACCAAAGTGGTACCTATTTACCTACTCACATTTGCATGCTTACAAATTGCTAGGTGGGCAAGAGCTGGGACAGAACAGCAGGCAGTCACCCCGTTGTGTGGATTCAAACTGCCGACCTTCCAATCAACAGCCCAGCAGCTCAACGGTTTACCCACTGCACCACCCGCATCCCACAAAACTGCATACAGTTAAAGTGTTAAAAACTGCAAAAGCAGCTGCTGAAGGCTAGCAGAGGAGAAGGCTAGGCTTATATTTTCAGTTCATGTCGCTAAACATATTTTGGCTACTATATTAATCAAATAATGGCATGTCTGCCCAAGATATGCAGGCACATTCATTCCTCCAATGGAAGACAATTTGAGTAGAGTTCAGGCTTTAGTAATACCACAACTGCATTGGCTGTTGATGAAGATGAAAAGCTGAAATGCATTTGTAGTTTTTAAAGGATTATAGAAAAACTAGAAAGGCATCTTCCCATTCTGGAATAGCTGAAAACTATAATATAATATAATATAATATAATATAATATAATATAATAATAAACAGTAACTATGGGTTGTCAGTTAAGCGACAAGCTCTAGTGTGCCAGGTAGCAGAATGCCCTTCACTCCTCCCCCGGCCACTCTTGCTCCCCCTGTGAACGGCCGGCCAGCAAGAGTCTGAGCACCTGTCTCGTCAGCAGGATCGCCGTGTCATAGTGCTCCGAGTGCCGGTCGCTTGGGGGGTTGAAGCGCTGCTGCCAGTTGCAGAAGTTCCTTAGCATGAGCCCTCCGTTGTCGGACACTTCTGGCCCAGCCTTTTCATCTTCCACTACCAACACCTTCACGACTACCAGGTTGATGGAGTTCTTCAGGCTGGGGTGCTTATAGATCTGAGCAGCCACAGACATCAAGGTGAGGATGTGATTCTGGAAGACACAGAGAGGCAAGGGGTAAAGCAAACACCCTGCGGTCCACAAACAGTTTGGTTCAGCAGCCTCGAATTGGTGCAGCATTCTCCCAAATGCACTATGGAAAGAGAGAAGCAGCCGTTTTTCCCCACTTCTGAATTGTCTCCCTTGCAGCTCCTCAGACTGGGGAGTGTGTTTTATACAATGATGATGGCAGGAGGCAGGAAGAAAAAATGGATATGCCAGGCAGAACATGCTCAAATTGTATTTGGGATCCCAAACTGTTTGCATTAGAGTGGCAATTTAAAATTCCCCGCTGTTAGCTGAATGTACTTACTGAGTGGCCAGAAATGTTGCCCAGAGTCACACAGAAGCCATCTTAATCCTGAGTATGCACAAAGAAACCTTCTATCTCTCACTCCTTCCCACCCCACAAAATAGAAGCAGTCCAAAAACTATTGTGCCACAGAAGCACCTCGAGCAAACATTTGCCCTGTACTGTTATTTTGCCTTAGGACAGAGATGGATATTCATGTTCCAACAATACTGGATGGCTCGCCTGCCTCTACCGCACACAACACCCTTTATTTTCTAATTGCACAGCAGGATGCATTGCCCAGTTGCAAATCGCCTATCCAGATGTGCTGCCTGCTGCCAGTGACATGGTTTTTTTTTTTTTTTACTTCAGCAATGCAATCAAACCCAGTCACAGAAATGGAAGCGAAAGCTTCACTTCCCTAAAGAAGGCTAGTTCCCCATGTTGACACATGCAGCGCTCCATAAACAGAACTGATGCTGCAGTGAAGAAAGGTAGCTACAAGGTGAATAATCTCTTAAATTGATTAAGATGCCTTACTCCTATCAAAATACAAAACAAAAACACTAAAACAAAACAGCAAATCTGGGAAAGAGATCAGTCACCTTGGAGAGCTTTAGAGAGAGCTTTAGATTTGTCTTCTGCTACAGAGCTGTCTCTGGAGTCTGGGGAATTATGGGGCTTTTGTATTTATTTATGCACCTCTGTAGAGACAGTTGAGTGATCTCCAAGAATGCCACGAAATAGGTCTTCCCTGTAAGCCAGGGATCTCCAAACTTTATGACTCAATAGGCATATTTGGGCATTTGAGAAACTGTGGTGGAAACGGGAACAAAATGCCCCAAACTGCAAACTGAGCAACAATACAGTTCATCTGGTCATAAGAGCAAAAGAAGAGAGCCACTGCCTTCAGCCCCATTTCTGGGCTTCCTAGAGGTATCTGGCCAGCGACTGTTGGAAGCAGTATGTTGGTTGGATCCAGCTATGCTCTTCTTACAGTCCCTTTCTGGCAGTCCCTTTTCCAAGAAGCACAGCAACGCTTCTTTTTATGCCCGGCATTATGGAAGAGCGTTGCACTCAGCACGACATGTGGGTGATATATACCGATGACGTATTTGTGAATGGGATGTATTCCTACACAGGCCATTTGCGTACACTCTTGGATGTTTACCCCACATCACCTTCTGTTTGGGTGAACAAGACAGAAGGGAGATGACTTCATATGTCAGACACTCCAGCTATGTTTAGGGCTGATGTTAACATCTTATCAGCAAGTCAGATTCCGGCTCCTTTTGGCACTTGTTCATGGAACCATGTTCATAAGACAAATATGCAATTGTTACACAATGGTGAAACTATTGAGAAACAGCAAATGGCCATTTTCCCCAGACATGCTTGGCTCTTTAATCTTCTCGCCTCTGTGACTTCTTGCCTTCATCAAATTGTTTCATCCTACTGCGCAGGCCAAACTAAAGGGAACGGGTACAGCTAAGTTTTGCTTTCTTCTTCCCTTTGGGTACCTGCCTTGATCCTAAGACCACTCTCACTGGAACCACATAAACTACCCGCGAACAAGCATCATTTAACTGTAATTTTAAGAGCATAAAAATATCCTCTGCCATCAGATGATTGTGTAGTCTGAAGATAAATTGCTTTGAGTCTTATCAAGTGTTCAGGGCCAAGAACAGGTGAGTATTCTAGCCAGCTGTTTAGCAGGCCAAGGGAAGTGCTGGTGGTCTGCAGACAGATGCCTGCTGTAGAGTCCCTCGATGGATGGTAGGAGGGGCAAGGAGAGCTGGAAAAGGCAACTAACTTTGCCTCTGGTGCTCTTCTAGGCCCCCAGATGTCCTCTGACTTCTCAGGCCAGGAATATATGGTCTGTGGTATGAACCTGTCTCCTTCCCTCTGCTAGTCAGCAGCCTTGGTAGTGCAAGCGTGAGGTAGAGTCTGACCTGCAGGCTCCTGGTTCGAGCAAGTCACATGCTTCCTTTGGATGTTATTGCAGTGGTGTAGATGCCCCCTGGAAGCCAAATTTGGTACACCACTCCATATGAAAGGCAGCATGCATGGTTTTAACCATGCCTGAGAAACTGTCTGCATGGATATGTGTGTAGACCAGCCTTCCTCAACCTGGTGCCCAGAAGATGTTTTGGCCTTCAACTCCATCAGCCACAGGCGCCATGACGAATGGTGATGGATCTTGGGGGTTGATGGCCAAAGCATCTGGAGGACACCAAGCTGGGAAGGCCGCTGTAATCTTAACTTAATTGACATGGGTCAGATATGAAGGCTGCTCCTTCACACGAGAGACTAGAGGGGCACCCATACAGGATGCCTTCCCAGCAGCAACAGCGAGCCCATCCCCCAGATATTGCATTGACTGCGCCCTAGCCCCCTAATTTGTGGATCAAAAGAAAGAACAAATGTCCCCACAGGCCAGGGGAACTGCTGGCTGGGCCTTTACACCTCTCCCTATACTGAGGATGAGTGGCAAGCATCCTGGGTCAAGCAGCTGGATGGCATGGAGACTTCTTTTCCTTGCTGTCCTTTTCCTCTGCATTCTGTGTAAATTGCCTTGACTTCTTATCCCTTGCCTGAATCTACAGATAGATTTTGAAAGCTGGAAAGCAAAGATGCAAACTGAAGTATGTAAACAGCTATTTAATGAGGATTAAGAGGTCAGGTTCACTTGTTCCACCATCTGCTGTCTATTTACACCCCTTCCCCCAGCTCTTTTGCTTCAAGGAGGCAAAGAGGTTCAGCTGGGAACCTGGCTCCTCTAGGGGTGAACAACCGCCACCTGGGTAAGGAAGCCCATTCGGCTGGCAACAACATGCATATTTCACCATGCCAGAAGCTCAAGCTGTTGGACTTGGGAGAAATGGCTTGGCTGTGTTCCCTCAGCTGAAGGCAGAGCAGTTGCATTGGCTCTGAGGTTGTGCTGGGGCAAGCAAAGCTGAAAAAGGCAACTAACTTGGCCTTTGGCAGTCTTCCCTGGGCCTGGCCATTAACCATTCCAGGTTAGGCTTTGCTCTTGACCTGGACAACAGCCAGCCTCTTGCAGTGCTCATGTGACTTCCTAGTTGTGCCCCTGACTATCAACTTGCCTTTCTCTCCTCTGTCTCCAAGCACATTACTTCCCACCCGGGCAGATAATGTCCCCATCTGCTTTTCTGCTATTATCCTTCCAGCCTCCATCCCTTGGGCTCTACTCCTCCAGACACTTCTGCCTCCAATTTGCTCCTGCCAGGACATAGGCGTGTGAGAGGCTGCCTCTTTCATTCAGCATCATATTGTCTCCTGCAGCCTTCCCAGTGCTGTGCTCTCCCCATGGGCTGGATTACAAATTCCCTGCCCAAGCCAGCATAGTACACGCATCAGGTTGGTGTGCTCTGCCAGAAGGAGCCTCCCCGGACAGCCGGGAGGAGACCTTGGACATCACGCCTCATGCTGGAGATGCTGTGGCTTGGTCTGCGACCTCAGGCACGCTAAGCAGGTGCTTCACACTGAGTCACGTTCTCGTCTGCCTCCCACGTGCTCGTCATGAAGCATCCCACCTGCTAAAAATATGAGTGAACCAGAGGGCTCGCCACTTCCTCAGGCCACCCAAAGTTTACCCGAACTTCAGGTCAAGGTCTAATTCAAAATACCAACATCTGATTCTCTTTGCAGCAACCACAATAATGGAAATATTACAGTGACTCAGTCCCACCTCAGTAATAACCTACAAGGCGCAGATTTCTGCACAAAGCATGACTCATGGAAATGCACTCATGCCCTTGGCATCTGCTTCGGCCCCTCTGTGAAGCAGAGTGGAAATAACCCGTTTGGCGCTTCCGTGTCATGAGTCTGGGGCTCATGGAGGACTGTTCACTAAAGTGTATGATTTCAGTCTGCCTGTGATTATAGCTCAGCAAGAGGCACACGGACAGGCACAAGGTGTCCGGTCCAGTCACCTGCCTTCCCAAGGGAAGGGCCTTTGAGGGTGTGAATAGGCTCGGCCATACAGGATCGGACCCCTCAAGCCGTTGTGGCCATACAGATACCTCAGCCTGCTCCAAGGTGCCTTCTATTAAGCGAAGGGGGACATCTGTCCGGTGTGCTTCTGGCATGCACAGCTCTGGCTGGGCAGCTTTTGTGAGGCCAAAGAATAAGCTTGCAAAGTGCTCTTTGGTTAGCTTGGTTTTATCATCTCTGAGGCTGCTTTCACAGAGCAGTTCATTTTCCAGTTCAAAGACAACTTGTTGTTGATGTGTTTTTAAAGAAAGATGTAAGATCATGACTGAACTGCTAATCAGATAAGCTTGCAATTTGCGAAGCATAGAGGGAAAGGGAGGCCCAAATAGGAAATCGGCACTGAAGTCGGAGGCACGTGCGTGCACTCTTTGAGGAAGGAAGACAGAATAAACCGAGCTCATCCCGCAATGTCACAAGAACCAAACACACTGACTCCTCTTTGTACTCATGTCAGTGAACAGCTTGCATGGCATTCTGCAGAGTTGCTGCCAGCCAGAGTAGACTGCAGTTGGCTTGACTGGGATAGGCATTAAAGGTAAAGGTAAACGTTTCCCCTTGACGTTACGTCCAGCCATGCCTGACTCTAGGGGGCGGTGCTCATCTCCGTTTCCTGGCCGAGGGAGCCAGCATTTGTCCACAGACGGTCTCCATGGTCATGTGGCTGGCATGACTAGACACCGAAGTG